ACACCGCTTTGTTATCTACGGGCCCCTCAATTGTCCAGATTGTTCAAACTTTTTAAAAGTGTGGGGATCATTTCAAATGTGCAGTGAATGTTGGGAAATTAAAGAATTTACAGGACTTGGAGCAAAACAGAAACTCATACCCAACTATTGCGAAAGACTTCAAACAATCATTAGTTGCTTGCACCCAAGTTACAAACTTAATTTATACGAAAAAAAATAATAAATGATAAAATATTGAAATCTTAAATAAAAGCAGTGTTTCCATCCCATGTGTTTAAGAGAACAAAAAAATCATCACTTTCATGGATGGTTATGCACTTTTGTATCCACTATATATAGTTTTCACATTATGGACAATTTATTTGCATTTCTTTTGCAATATCCCAAATTCTACAAACATGTTGTATGTACATTTTTTAAACAGAATAATACCAACATAAATTTATTTATGTTTGTTATGTGGAATATACAGTATGTTAATATCTGTCAATGCTTTTATTATTTAAAAACCTTAGAGATTTTGCAAGGGGTATATAAACTTATGAGTGCAAGATTTGACCAGTGCAGCATAAATGACAAGCTCATGATACCTTATTTATTCTATATATTCCTAGTAGAACAACAGAAGTGACAGACCATTTCATTTGTTTGTGTTTGTTAGTGTAAACAGACACATTCTAGGCGCAAAACTGTCACCAAATGAGAGAGACCAGTTTACATGCACCCCATCTGTCAGACTGAAAATACAACTGCATGCACTGATAAGAGATGTGTCAACTGCAGTGTGCCAGTGAGAGAAAGACAGAAAAACATGCGTCTTACCGTCGTGAAGGCCAGGAGCTCCTCATCATTTAGCTTGTGAACTGCATTATTCTTCTGAAAGTCTATGCTGCAAAACAACAAACCATGATCAATCAAAAAAATCAGCACATAAAGCATACGTTTCTTTTAGTTCACAAGTCAAGGAAACAAAAAATGATCATTAAAAAAAATCCCAGTGCATGCAAGATCTTGTGCCTCGTCCATTATTCTTTCAGCTTTTAAAACATTTGAGAATTGAGACATATTTCATAAATAAAAACTACGAAATAATCCTTCCATTATGATTTATTTGCATAATGACACATTAGTGTAATGCATAAAAGTCTCATTATTACATGGAAGATTCTCTCAGTAATTTGTGCTTCATTTATTAAAAGGAATGAATGAAAACGAAGTTCAACTATGTACCCAGATAGAAAGATAGATCTTAAACATAGGCTTCCTTTTCTCTTGCGTTTTTTTTTTTTTGCATTTGGGTTGAAATACGACCCCCGCATTTCATGAAATTCACCCGTTCTATTGCAGTAGAGGCATTAAAACAAAGTTGTCAGACAGTCAAAAGGATAAAATATGAGCTCGCACATCTCAACCCTCACTCAGCAGTTCAATTATTTAATCCCATTATTATACCCATAACTCAATATTCTAGGTAACTTCAGCTACTTTCCTCAAGTTGTAACTGTCTGAATTTCTCATTTGAGTCAAGAGTTCTTTACGTTAGCCGAGGATAATAAATGTATGGTGGGCTGTTCGCATTCCAACAGAATGCCGTTAAACCGTACGTGCAGTTTTGCTCGACTGCACCAATGACGGCCCATAATTCACCTTCAACCATCACACAGCCCAATTAAGGTCCCTGGCCTGCATAATTACGCCCTGCTAATTATTCAACGCCTGCAATTTGTCTCCTAGCAGCCAGTCGGGCAGGATGACGACCTTTCTACAACAAACAGTGCGCACAGGATGGTACAAAGCTAATTAGAGAGCAGTGTAGAAGAACCCCGCACCTCCTCCCAGGGCTGAGATGGGGGTGGATGACCATCCACTTTTTTATTCAGGATGGAGAAGACCGCTATCAGGGTGCACAAAAAACATTCTGCAAGATGAAGGCCTGACGCAGCACTTCAAAGTTACTAAGATAAAACAAGACTCTCAGCAATAACAATGATTTACACATCCCCAACATGATTAATGTCGAGCTGCGGCTTTAAAGGTCCCATATTGTCAAAACTGAAATTTCCTGGCTTTTTTCACGATTACTGAGGTCTAGGGGCTATTTAACTACCATATAAGTTTCAAAACAGTCAGTCCACAGTAAAATTCGCACAGCCTGCTTAAAGTAGCTGTGATTTTTCACGAACCGTTGTGACTTCCGTAAAAAGTTGACGTCAGAACTACACAGTCACCGCCTTCAGTCACCACCCCGAGCACCGCCCACCGTCCCACTGTCCTTTTGCCAAACCCCCAGACAACATCGCGTCCATGCCATTGCTGAGCAACAACAACACGGAAACATGTCGAAAAGGTTCACTTTAACCACGAAACCAGATCGGTCGGCCTGTAACGTTACACTCTCACTCAAAGAATGGACGATCTGACAGGATTGTTACTATGAGGTGGATCACATCTAACGTGTATAGTAAAGACAAAACTCACCGTGTCTAAGAAATACCAAAGTATTGTTTGTACTTCCGCTGATTGTGTTTCATTGGTCTCATAGCTCAGAAAACCTGACACAGCCAATACAAATATAAGTACACCACCAGTCAAGAGTTTTAGACATCCTTGGTTGAATTTATGTTTCTTCTCATGATCTTAACCTTTTGATGTGAAGGTTTACACTTAAATACTTGAAATTAGCTATAGTTAGTGTAAACAACAGTGTAAAATATAAATTAAGTCTAATTGTGCCAGAGTCTACTTATAAAATTAGTTGCCCAAAAAGTGCCCAGCATAGATGAGAACTCCTTGAGTAAATTAATAAAAATTAGTTTTTTGCTCACTACATAAATACCACACATGCATTTATGTCATTGCATAGCATATTGTAAAACATAAATAGTGATAATAATGAATGAATATGTCTAAACCTTTGACTGATAGTGTATTTCAAAGAGCAGCAAATTTAACAGTCAAATAACAAGCCTCCAATATCAGGCTAAGGCAAATATTAGTCAATGAACTGAGTTTGTTTAGTGACATCAAGTTGCCCTGGTGATAAAAAGATGAACTGTGGCACTGACAGGAACCCATTTGCTGGATCTTTTGGACCACTGACCATTTCTTATCTCCCATATTGGAAGTCTTCTAGGAGGTGGAAACTTCCAAACAGCAACATTACAAAACCTTTAAGCAAGGAGTTGACTATAAACTGGAGACAAGTGCATTTTTTAAACACAGTTTCCCCAACGTGTTAGTGCCAGGAATCAGTGGCTATATCTCAAACCTAAGGAGATGACTACCTAGACAGCATTTGGGAGCATCATAAGCTACATTCACACTGGAATTCCTGAAATTCCTGAAAACTGCTTCTCCGTGAATGCAAAGCCAGAGTGCCAAAACTTGTCTGTGTGAACAGAGCTAATGTAGGGTGTGTGTTGTAGTGATAAAAGAGCAAGGCTTCCATTTTTCAACAGAACAACACAAATTTTCCAGACATTTTCCAAAATATCTATGTAAAAGATAGCTTTAGACACATAATCAACTCAGCTTACAGCTTAACTGAAGTTGAGCACTTGTTGCACATAGAAATAGCACATGCAATCAAGCTGATACAGTGAGGGTTTTGAGGAAGAACTAATCACTGGTCTGGTCTCTCTATATGTCAGTCAGAAGCTCCTTTACTGTCAGGTGGGCAGTTCTTCGCCATAATAAACTACAAAAACAACCAGATTTTCTGCCACAAGTTAAACGTTACTCATGCACTGAAAAACATAGTCGTGTATCAATTTTCACTCAGAAATCACTAGTAAATTCCACAAAAAAATTACAAAGAAACACCAACTAACACATTGGATAAAACATTACATTAAGTACAAACACTAAAATAATATTTTCTTGTAAAAACAAACTCCAATTATCTTTGCTTTCTTTACAACTTCAAAAAATAAATTTACAGTGTGACTAATGATGCCCAAAAAATGCTGCCTAGGCAGGCAGCTAACTACATTTTAGATAAAGCCAGTAAATGTGTACATGTCCCTGGCTGTGAAGTTGGGGAAAAGAGCTTAAACAGTAGTTCAAGGCATTGTTTTTGCATCTTCTACACAAAATCATGATGAAATCCACAAAGCCTGTAGTGACATGACACGCAAACTGGCAGAAACTTGATTTTTCTAAAGATGTTCTAATAACCGAGAACATTCCTCAGATATTAAGTCATAAATCCTACCTCTTTCACAATTCTTTGGCTTAAATGTATCTTTTACATGTATTATACAATTGAAGGTCTTCCTGCAGAGCACTGCGTTACAATCTTTTTTTTTCTTTCTTCCTTGTAGAAACTTGTGAAACAATTGTTATCTTGTGTGAGCGACTGCTAGACAGTGGCTACTCTTCATTCCTTGGATCAGAGGTCTTTCAGCTAAAGAAATGTCTCCTTAAACTACTAGACAAGAAAATGTCCCTTGGATGAATAATCTAGGATTATGTGCAGATAGAAAATAGTGCAGAATTTGAAATATAGGCTATACATAATTATACCTCACGACTTTTCTTTGTTTAAACTGTTAAAAATCAGACGTTTGGTATACACTGAGTGTAGACTCTCTTCTTGTGTATGTTTGACAGAGCTGCATATCGTTCTATATGTAGTCAGTCAACGATTTTTTATTTTTATTTTCAATAATCCCATCAAACGTTTAAATTGAGAAGTGAGTTAAACAAGTTAAAAGAACAAAACATATCGCGTAATAACAGATGCATATAATTATTCTCAAAGCTGTCATCCTCACTCCAAGCGGGTGACAAACAAGCATATGGCAATTTAACGCACACTTTCAACTTTTGTGGTTTGCTTGTGAATACTATGGCCAAATTATTTAGATTCCTCCCGAAAAACATCAGAAGGCAAATAACTTCAGTTGTATACTTTTACAAAATGAACGTACCACACAACTAAAATCTTTCATCTAAAACAAAGTTTAGGAACGTAGGGTATTGCTCGTGCAAGCACTTACCAATACAAGAAAAGTTTAAAAACTTCGAAAGACGTCAACCGAACAACCCGTGATAAAGTTGCATTTATGTTAACAAGGTGTCTGTGGCACAAATAAAAATCCTGTCGAAGTCAAGGAGGACAATGAAAAGGTTATTCTGCTCAAACTACTCCGTTTGTTACTTGTGGCTATAACGATGACAGTCTGGTCATGTTCTCCTCCTACCGTAACCCTCCGCTTTTTTCGAAAGTGAACGAGTGCGCATGCGCAGACTGTTTAAGGATTGTTTTTATATATTTATTTTACTTTTACATTTATTGAACCCATTTAGGATAACAAACAGGCGTTAACATTATTAAACACTGCTACAATAAATCCAAGCAGCATACACTAAAAAGGAAAAGCACGTTATAACAAATTATATTAAACTTAAGGGGAGAATAGTTCAATAATATTTCAAGCAATTTGGAGAGTTTAAGGGCACTTTTTCATATTTTGCTGTAAGGATCGAAATAAAATTTTTTTTTAAATGCCACAAACTTGGAGCAGCTTTAACAAATCTACATTTGTGTAAAAAAAAAAAAAAAACCTTTCCCATA